CGAGGGGGAAGGGGGGAGCCTCAAGCCATTTGACGTCACATGAAAAGAAGAGTGTTGTAGTAAAGAATTTCACTTCATAACACTGAATGAAAGACATTTTTTTTTTTACATCATTAAAAAAAAAACAAAAAAAACTATAAATATTTCAATCTAAAACTACTATCACTGAGAGCATCCGTGCGAGGTCCGAAGAATGGCCTCAGATCAAGTTACAGGACGCCCAGCAGTAGGAGAATCCGAATGTAGTTACAATGACGGTCGTGAGAATTTATAGCTAAATCTGGACAGGAGAAGTGGGGTGGAGCGGGAAAAAAAAGGTTGACCGCGAGGGCAGTTGGGGGGAGGGGGGATATTTTAGTAAAAGCTCAAGAGCAGGTTTTTTTTTTTTTTTTTTTTTTTTTTTTTTTTTTGCAGCATTGTGGGTCCACTCCCTTTTACAAATCCCTCCTCCAACCGTATAAATTACATTATAATAAAATTTAAAATAATTAAATAATTTAGTTATCGTAGTTTTATTTCTTTAATTAACTTTTTGTAAACAGGAGAACCCTAATTACCAACACACACAAAATGCGCCAATGAAATTCAACATTGACTGCTGCTAATCAAAATCCATTAATTTTTTTAATGTATTTTTTTTTTTTAAAGCAGCAACAAATTGCAATTGCAGCAAATAGAATCAGTGGCGTAGCTAGGGTTGGTACCACCCGGTCCGGTAAGCTCGTGGTGTCAACCCACTCCCCTTTTTTTAAAGATGTATTTCTTCTTGTTAAACTTAGTCCAAAGTATAAGAAATACAAGAACAAAAAAAAATTAATTGAACGTCAGGGGGTAAATGTATTTAACTGCAATGTTCTTAGAATCGCCCACTGTTATCAAAGTATAGTTTTATTTCTCAGACTTTAGATAAAAATAGCTTCCTGCCGCTTACAAAAATTGCCGAACACTTCATTCGGCTATGAAACATGGTCAAATGGTGTGTTTCTGACCTAATAATAGGGTAACCTATTTGCTGACGCATCAACCTTCAAATTTTAATATTAACGAAATAAACACGCATTTTGATTGGTTACATGGGTGGAAAATGTACCAGTCATCTGTTATCCTTTTACGAATTTCGGTTAGACCGATCAGTGTGTGCTCTGTAGTAACGCTATCTTTCAATTTGGTGTCACCCCCTGAGTCTGTCTGAGATGGTGTCGGCCGGTGCGGTCCGCACCCCCCCCCCTAGCTACGCCACTGAATACAATTTTTTTTTGTTTCCCACACCTTAAGGCTGGGGAGGTACTTGTACCCCTGTTAAAGAACCACTGATCTAGTGAAATGTTTCTGACACGGGTGCAGTAATTGGATATCCATGGGAGGCGAATTTCTTGAGGGTTTGTGAAGGACACTAGTGGACACAGGGACTTTTTAAAAAAAAAGGGGGGGGGGTGCAGAGATTTGTGACGTTATATTTGAGGGGGGGGGGGTCTAACTTTTTGTGACGATTTGTGACGATGGGAGGAGGGGGGTCAAAAATCGGAAAAATTTGCGTGACGTCATTTATAGATGGCCCCTTTCTTAAAATTTGTGACAGTTTCGATTTCTTTCTCAATAAATAGCTGGTGATTTACTAAGACTAAGAGGCCAAAAGCAGGAAAGTAATGAACTATTATATGTCAGTAGTGAAATAAACACCATTGCAAACAGATGACGACTAACACAGCAACTTGGCTCCATCCA